CATTCAAAATGATAGAATAGACATTGTCAATTTTTCTCATTGTTGGTCTCATTAGGTTTTATCCATCGTAGAGTTGCATTACTGTTCATTTCAGCCCATTACAAAGCCTATTAAAACTCCTTACAGAAGCTTTAATGTTGTAATATACATATAACACAGAGGAAAACAAATAAACTAGATAGGAGTGAGTGAATAATGTGATTCTAATACACATCACTTCCTGCCTAAAATACATTATTGAACTTAATACCTGGCTACCAACTGAGGGTGTGAACAAACTGTTAAACACAGATCATTTAAAGATGAAATTTTGACTTTTTCTTTATACAGAAATGTTTTAAATAACAATGATTAATCAATATTTCAAAATGTAAAAAGTCTCACACTGTGTAACTTGAAGAAATGACCTTTACTGTTTTTTTTTTAATGAGGGTTTGAGATGAACACATTGCCAACAAATAGTGTAATTCTTTGTGTATAACCACCACATATTTTCTAATATAAGTACATTTTTCAAGGCTTATTGATACAATCTGAAGGCCTCATAAAAATACTTATAAGTAATCATGAGCACTCAAAATTTATGGCAATGTTTATGAAGTTTAATAAACAGTCATCACAATGCCTCATGAAAGGTATGGTTTAAATTATACTATACTGTACCTCCTTAAAAGGTATACTACATTATAAAACTTACAATAGCCTCTTTTGAGTTCTGAGTTTCATAACACTTTGTAACTCACCCAGCTTTATCAAGTTATAAATATTTATAAAGAACTTGATCACACTTCAAACAAAACAAGCCCTCAGCACCATTTTCACTCACAAAAGTCTGTTTTATATGAAAGCGAAAAAAACTCACATTCACCCATTCACACCTCATTCACACACTGACTCCTTTTTATTGTCATATTTGTCTCATGCACACCTCCAGCACATCTGTCAGTCTCCAGTTGTTGAACATCTTGCCCAAACATCATTTTGGTATCCGGTTGGAAAGTCACCTTCCACCACGCAGATACACCGCCACAAGGCTGTGGTTCTGGTTTGTTACCACGGAGACAAGCATGCAGAGCGACGTTGCTGTTTGGCAGTGATGCTTGTCTTGGCAGGGAAACGGCCAACACTGAGGTCGGGTGACAGCCAGACACACACATACACATATACACACTTATACACACTATCTCTCCTCAAGGCTCAGCAGGGCAGGCGAGTGTAAGTGGGGGATGTTTCTTGTGTGTGAGTGTGTGTGTGTGTGAGAGAAGGAGAGGGGGAGAGAGAGAGAGACAGTGTTAAGCAGGGAAGGGTGACAGTGACGTGACACTGGTGAAATAATTATGAGTCCAAAACAGGGCTGACAGGGAGCAGCCCGTGCCCTTCAACTATCTGTCAACTGTCATTAACATAGAGGCCTGATACACCGCCTGAGGAGAGAGAAAGACGAAGAGGGAGAGGGAGAGGGAGAGGGAGGAAAATATGAAGAGGACGGGAACTACAGAAGGGGGCAGACAAAGATCTGAAAAAGTCAAGTTATCTTAAAATCCTTTTTTGAGATAAGTTGAGTGGAACAGATTTCTTTTTTCAAGTGCTCTGAAATGACACGGAAATTTTCACAGTGAGGAGAAATACTTTAGAAACAGCAAGGATGAAGATAGAGGGAAAAAGAGAAGGACAAATAACCACTCAGATAACGTGTCGTAGGAGGCTAATGTACTGAAATAGAAATGTTAAACTCACAGTTGGTCACATATAGTTTTAGAATAAATTTTATATTATCCAATTTCTTTAAATGATTTAAACACAGACACACACTTTGTGAAGTTTTTGAAAGATATTTGTTTTTGTTTGTGACCTCAGGCAGTGTGAAAATCACCTCAGAAGTAACCTTCTCACTAATCTGTTGATTTCCATTCTTGAACAGCAAAACACCAAAGGTCACTAATTTAGAAAAAAAAAAAAAAAACACTAATGTGTGAATGAGTGTGTCAAAAACATATACAATGTAAGTACACCATTCAATCAACAGACAGCAGCTTAAAATAATAAAACAAGTCAAATGCACAGGTAAAACTATAACCCACATGACATTTTTGTCATCTGCTGTGGCTAGGGTATGTGTTCAAGAGTTCACTTTGTAATTTGGTGCTTTAAAACCTAGTTCAGACAGTTTTATTTATTTATTTATTTATTTATTCATTTATTTTTTTTTGGGCCATACAGAAAAAGAGCAGGAACAGCTTTTTTCTGTGAAATAAACCATGACAATCGAACAAAAGTCAGCAGAGGCCTGATTATTGTATTGTTCTATAGATTATCTCGCCAGATTATCATGTGGTGTAGGGTGTGTTAAAATGGATTTTTCTCTATGTTGTGTTCACCGTATTTCTACAAACCACACACTATTGGAACAGAACTGTTAAATCTGTCAACCGTATTTGGTCATGTAGGTGGTCTATGACTTATCAAAAAGTTTGATTAAGCAATTTAACCAGACTACTGTTCTGGTCCCAGTTTACGAGCACTTGTCAAGAATCAAATTATTGACAAAAGCATGTCCACCTCCGTTACAATAGGTGGTGACACATCTCCTTTAGTTTGTTATTACTGGGTTGTGTGCCAGTAGACTTACTACACACCAGAGCTATCATAACATGTATCAGCAACTGGCTAAAAGGATGTATGTTGAATGATAAATATAAATTACAATATTATAGTTTGTCTTTTTTACCTCCTTTATTGGTCTTTTGAGGTTTTGTTTACTAGCTGGCTTCCAGGGCATTCATGCACTTCAACTTCCAGGCCAAAGCAGGGTGTGTCAGTCACTTTCATTCCCACTGAAGCATAGACATGACAGAAAACATCATCCCCAACCACATTATCAACTGATTGAGTAGTTTAGTTGAGTGTGATTTCAGTCAAACTAACATGTTTGTAGAATTGTATGTTGTCCAGTTCCAGTCAGACTAGCTTTATAAACCTTTAAACCTAATATTTACCAAATGAAAATATACTATATGACAATAGCAGCATTGAGACTTTGGTGCATGTTTGCATTCAATGGTCCTGTGAAAAATACAGATACTGCCTGTACTGCGGTCTGTCTCCCCCCCCCAGTGTTATGGGGGGGGGGAGACAGACAAATTAACTCTGGACAACAGGGAAGTGGTGACAGTGTGACATCTTTCAGGTTTATATTACTGATGATGCACTTTCTGTGATGCTATTATGCATGCCCACATATTTGAGCGATTCTATATTCAGCCCTATTTGGTGATTTCAGCTTCTAAAATATGCAGCATAGAGTCACCATTTACAATAATGAGATGGACATAGCAGTATAAATTGGTATACGAGCCAGGCTAACTGAAAAATACCCAACACATCCACCATGACCCCTCATTAACTGGTTTGTTGATTTTTGTTTTGTAGTCCAAAGTTTGTCATTATGTCTGTCCACCCTCTGGGACCCCCTATGACCACATTTGAACCCAAGGTTGAATACCAAACAGTACATTACTACACTGGTTGGCATGTTACGGTGGTAATGACCTGTCAAGCACAGGTTAAACTACAGAATGCCCAGCATTTATTGTGTAATTTACTGAAAATGGGACATATTTTAGACTTCAAATAAGCTTTAAGACTGTCACCTGGTTAGAGATGTTTTCTGAAATACTAAATCAACTCGAAAAAGAGTAATTTTCCCAATCTAGTTTAATCCATCCAACATCTTTTATGCTCTGGTAGATTCCGCCCTGTCTGTGAGAAAGAGTGCAGGTTTAAGGCACTTCTACACTGGCTTGACTTTAATAACCAGGCGCTGCATCCCTTTTTTTTCCCCACAGTCTCTCACTACAGCAAAAAAAGAGCAATCTGACCAATCTCAACCTAACAGTTATTGTTCCTGTTGATGTCAAGTGCCTGGTCCCATGGGGTTTCGCTCTTCTCCTGTAAATGTGTGAGAAACAGTGTCTCCGCAGCCGTCTGTGGATTGATATGTGGATTAACAGAAAGCCTGAGTGAAATATGTCGGAGAACACACTGTTACCAAGAATCAGGATGTAAAACGCCTCAGTGTACATAACTCTTCTTAACGCTGAGTAAATCCCTCCTCAAAACAAGAGGACACACAGTACATCTGGCAACAGTATATTTGGAAATAAATCTCCCATGATACACCATGAAACACTCCGAGAGGCGACGAGTGAGGCAGAGTTAAGGCGAAGAGAGAGAGGGAGAGATGAGAGGGGGATTTATAGATGAGGGGGATATCCCAGTGTCTAAGATGAGCCAAATGGCCAACAACAGAGTGACAGACTGAAAACACAAATAAAGAGCAGCTTTTATGATGTGAATGGATGGCTTCCCTGGAAGACACTTGGCTGGATTTTATTTGGTCGTGGCTTTAGCCCTAGCCAGTACATATTTCTGTTTTATGAAGAGACTCAACAACTAAGACAGCGGCTAACAGAGTGGAGCGAACCCTCTCACCTTCTTTTGATTGGTGGAAAATAACGGGAGGAAGCGGACTGAAAGCAGGTAAAAGACAAATATAAACAGATTTAAAAGAGAGTAAGGGTTTGAAGTGACGGGAGCACAATTTAATTTATCCATAAAATCCAGCAGGAGCATAGGTGTAAAATATGCATCTATCTTATAAACACAAACACACAGGTAAAAAAAAGAAAGAAAACAAGTTCTGCTTTAAAGGCAAGAGGAGAGTCTTGAAACTTCTGCAGTAGGAGGAAATCTTAAGGGCTGAAAAACAAAGCTCAAGGTGTTGCCGAGGTAGCTCTTATTTACTAGCAGAACTTGCTAAAGAACAAGTTCACATATTTACATTAAATTTTCATTGGAATGAAGAAAGAAATAACCCTGACGTGCACTAAGTTTTACTGTTGCTTTTCAACACTTCATACTCTGCTGTAGTCATTTGTAACTCAGTCTTATACTGAACAATCCACCCCTTTCCCCAGACTGGATCTTCTTTTGGACGAAAAATGATGACTGGATATCTGTCTGCAAAAGGGATAAAAGCCTCTGAGGGCAGAGTGGGTAAAGTGTTGAGAAGTATTCACCAACCTTACCACGCTGCAAGACAGCAGGTATGATCAAATAGCATAGTTTATTTCTTCATTTCAATAGAACATACAGTAGGTGTTTATATATCATAAGGATTAAGTATTATTGCACTTCTCTATCAATGTGGTTCTTCTATTCCAGGGTGCCCGCAATCTGAACCCAATACCCTACAGAGCCGATTACATGGGTCACAAGCTGCATGTAGACCAAAATGAGAAGCCTGTTATGTTTGGGGTGACCCATATGATGGCTACTGATGGTTTCAGCAAGAAGGTTGTCGGTCACTCCACCATGTCAGTGAAGAACAACATTGTCATTTATGATGAAGTGTTCAGGTAAAATAATCTTTCTTGTGCCAAAAGTACTAGTAGTTCCCAGACTTATTAGAGTGGTTGTTGAACTCACAGCAAGGTCCTTATGGCCCAGGTTTGAAAACAATATATTATTTTTAAAAAATCAATATAGTGGTTAAACCTATTTAGGAGCATGAAAACCATTAATTGCGATTGATTGTGTTTGGCAAAACACAATTAAACTTTATTTTGAAATACAAAACTGTGCAATTTTCCCATAAAGCCAGAGGACTGGCTATACATATTCTAAATGTATAAAGTTTTAGAAAGTTTTAGAAAGTTTTGGGGGAAAAAGTAGATGAGATGACAAGGTTGGCACATGTGCAATGAAGGTAAAAGGAGTGGGTCAAATCTTTGGCCACAGAAGGCGCATTTTGGATTCCTGCAAGTTCAATTATGGAGACTTATGTACTGTTTCGAGGACCCAAACAAATTACCTTAAAAAACAATGACATCTTTGTGGACAAAATTTGCAGGATTTTTCAGGTACTGTCCTTATAATTACTAGAATACAAGTAAATTATTCTGGTGTTGCCTTTTCTTACAGCACATCGGTATCTAGCTTGATGGTAGTGATACAACATGGAGTGTTTACATGTCAGTGTCAATTAAATGTAGCTTCACTATGTAGCTGATTGTTTAAAAAATGTCAAACTATATTTACATTGAAGGTTTGCCATGATTTTAGTGATGCAACAATATGAATGCAATAATAACTGAATCAGTAAGTGATCAGCATACAATATTCTGCAAAGGTTTAAGGTACTTTCCTTGAGTTCGATTAAACAGATCTCTCCCGGTTGTCTTTATATCACAGACAATGCCAACACCGCAGTGTTTCCGGAGCCAGCGGGGCATTTTTGCACCCAAAATCTTGTGCACCGTAGACATTATGAGGTCCACGGAGACCCAGAATCTAGTCAAGCCTATGCAAACAGAGCTCTGCCCACTGCTAATGTTTCTTTCGCCTCCATGCACGGACCCTCACGTTCCACCATGGAAACACCGCCTGCTTCAGCTATTACTCCACAGGCTCACGGCCTGTTTCCAACAAGATCCTTAGATGTTGATTAAATATATAACACAACTTATCTCTGCTTCTAAAATCTAAGATGAAGATATCCTTTTAGACTCAGGGGATGATTTTAAATTCCAGATGTTTTTCTTCCCAGATCAATCCATATTGCAGAAATTGAAAGTGACAAGTTGAGTACCTCCAGGACAGTGGTCATTTGCTTTTTGGAAGCAGATGCAACTGTTGAAGGAGTTACAGAAAAGGTGAAGGTTGCCTTAAGCAGCGATGAGCCAATTACCCTGAGAACCAGCCAAGGGCATGAAGGCACAAGACGTAAGTTACATGATCAGAGACTTCCATGTAATGTGTGATTTCTGAATAAGTCTCTTGCTGGTTACAAAAAAAATAAGTATGTTTTTCCCAACTCATAAGGTTCACATTATCAGAAAAAAGAACTCCAGAAAAATCTTTACCATCCCTGAAGATGAGTTTGTGGAGTTCAAAAATAAAAGAAGAGTTAAAGTGAGGTAATACAAACATTTGATGTGTCAGCAAAATCATATGTGAATAAAAACAGAGTGAAACTGATTCGTCAGAGTTAAGTTTATTAATGAATTTTCTTACGAGCTGTGCTTACGAAAGCCAAAGTCTCTCTCCAAGTCACAACTTCAGGGTCACAACAAAAAAAAAAGGTATATGAAAATTGAAACACAAGATTTCCACACATGTACTTTGATCTTCAATTTCCATTTAAAGCCCCATCACAGAAAGTCAAATACTGAGTTGTTTTTTAAATTCTCTGACTTTTATGATCAAAACCAAAAACAGCATGTTTTCCATTTTTCGTTTTCTGATTCCTTACAGGTCGTTGGGAGACAGCTCGTCTCCCAATTTTCATTTTTTTATTTGAAAACAAAAATCTGTTGGCCGCCAAGTACACAGACCTATCCAGCTGGTTATAGTAATATAGTATATTTATTTTCATGATAGCTGTGTCTCTTAACATTTCACCCATTGTACATGTTTATAATTTATAAAGGTTTATCCTTGGAGTAATCTTACTCTGGCTTTATGTAAACTCAAAGGTGGGCCGGTAACTTAAAATGCTCAAAATCCTAAAATGAAATATCTCACACTTAACCTTGTAAACAGGTACATTTTGGGCATTTTGCACCTGAACATATTCAGTTACACTCAAACAAGAAGCAGCTAGTTGTCTGTCTTTCAAATTTTCGTTTTAAAAGCTCACTGAGCTCATACACACCAGTCCTTGTCTTCATGTCTTTGATAACAAGCTGCATGAAATCATTTGGACAGAGGGATGAATCACAGCATTGTAAAACAAATTCCTGTGGGCGATAAAATAGTCATCACTGCAGAATTAATTGCACCCATTGCCTGGATGTTTGACAGCGAGCATGTGACGGTTGTTTCTTTCAGTGTGAAGACTCTCAGTGAAAGCAGACGCCTCATTCTCTTCTCCTGCCTTTCATACAGTATCTCTTTCAATCTCTCACACACATGCTAATCGTTCCTTCTCATTTGCATCCTAATGATTTCACTCTTCCTTTTTAGCCTTCGTCCGATCGCTCTATTTAGTTATCTGCCGCTTATGCTCCCTCCCATGTCTTTGTGTAGGTGTCTGCAGACTTTTCTGTCTGTGACTCTCATGTAGGCTTTTATGGAGGTTGTTATTTGGTTCTAAAGGCTGAGATTTCAATCGTTTATGCTTGATCTGTCAAAGGAGCACTACATGTGTCGCTTGTGGAGTATCATAGGAAAGGGGCAAAAAAAAAAAAGGAAAGAAAATGATATAGGACCACTAAGTGTCTTCATAGTTATTATTTTAGTGTATCTGAATCAAACCAGCAAAAAGTCAGGCAGGGCCGGTGTAGAAATGGAAAGCACTGAAAGTGTGCAATATATTGATGTTGTCTTAGATAATGTCTCAGTTGCTTAATTGCCTTAACAGTGGAAGATATGACACCGTTAAGTTTATCACTCATTCTGCAAAATCAGAAAGCATGCAGAATTTAAGGTCATCCATATTCAAGGATCCAACCAAAAAGGAAGTGCACAACACACAATGAATATGAACCGTGGTATATAGGTTATTAAAACATGGCTTTAAAATGGACACTCAACAAATCGTTCAAAACAGTAGTAAAATTCTTATTTTTAACCTGCACATTTTGTGCTTTGACCTAAACCTGAACAACCAGAGTCTCATTGCACTCATTAATTTAGAGTAGATTGTGTCATCTTACTAGAAAACTCAAATCAAGCCCTTAAATACTTGGCACCAAGATGAGGTAAGTAGCTAATTTCCAGGATACAGGTGTGCATGGTGTGCATTTGTGTGCACTCAGTATGCTTGTTTATCTGTCAGCTAAACCATGCATAGCTCTGACGTGCAGACAGCAGAGCAACAGGAGAGAGAAGTTGCAAATTGTATTTACAGGGAAACTCAGCATTGTCACCTCAACGATTTAATTATGTTGGTTCAAACATTTACCTGCAAAGGGGCTAACCAACCTTTAATTTTTACTGGCAAATTAGAAAGTTTCATTAAAGTATATGATCATATCTGTGCAGTATTTCCAGAAAAAATCCCATGGGTTACGATGAATGAGTTTACTCATACTTGCTTGCTTTGATCTTTACTCTGTGATTTTAGTAAATGAACAAGTCCTTCATGTTTTGCCACAAATCGTTTGGAGGGATGTACAATATTGTCAAATGTCAAAGTCAGCTAAATTTACCAAATATCTAGTTATTACTTAAATCAATATCCCACATCCTGAGGAAGCACTGTTGGTTAGTATTAAAGATGATTTTGATTATCGACCGACTTTGACCCTAATATCAAATAAAAGAGCAAGCTTATTTTTTACCTGCACTTTTTGTTCAAGTGAATTCAAATGTTTCCCAATGAATTTTTCTCAACTCTAGTCCAAGAGCACCTGGATAAGAAACAGTGGAGATAATTGAAATGAAAAGATAACCCAAAGCAAAGTTTCCAGTATTAGTAAAAATAAAAGGTTATAACTGCAGGTGGAGACCTTGTGTAGCAGAAGTACATGACCTTGTGAACAGATATGCATTGAAATGTGTGAATTGTTACATTATTATACGGTTTAATCCTCTTTTTTGATTTAAACACAGAATAAAACCCTTTTTTCTGTCTTTAAAAAAGAACTACAGGTGCGATTTAAACATGACTATAACTGTATTCTTACAATGACAACTGATGACAAATGACCACACCTGTACTTTACTGTATGGCTTGTGTGTGTGCATTGGTGTGGGACTTATAACAAAAAAAAAAACATATTGACAATATTTTTTTCCCCCCTTGATTTGACATTTAACACTGAAGTTAAGCCATTAAAGATATTATTGCTTAGGTTTTGTACCGTATTGTCTACACAATGTGTATCATCTATGGTTGCTGTTGTTTGTGTGTGTGTGTGTCAGTGAGTTTCTTTCTATGTGCCTATTCGCCCCAGCTGGGCCAAGTTACTCTGTAATTAACCGTGAGAGAGAAAGCAGTGCGAGCGTGTTTCTGCCTCCCCTCTCACTCACTGGAGAGCTAATAAGCAACAAACACACAAAGCAATAAATTAATGGTGTGTATAATTAACCAGGAGTTCAGCTGGAGATGCGTGACGAAGCAGCAGCCATCACTGAAGGACTGAGAGAGAGGAGTGTTTGTGTGCGCTGAGGGACAGATGTCTGTCCATGATTTTGAAATGAACCCTTTTTATACGTGTGGAGAAATTTCTATGTAGTTTAAAAACAGGTAATACAACTATTTGAATTTCTCTTGAATTATAAAACAGTTTTAAGTAATGGTGTTGTAACAGCTCTGAGATGCAGTCAAACATAGAGAAACAATTGATCAGTTTTTACAGGATATCATATCCTGCATTTTAAAGTATTCATGTTGCACATTTGCAGTGTTTCATATCAGCTGTTGCAAAGACAATTATTGCACCTAACATAGAAAAGCAAAAATCAGAAACTGCCAGCTTTGACCTTTGACTGTTGTGAACCAAAACTGCAATATCCTTGGCTATTTCTGCACACTTAACTATGAGCCTCCTGTGCAAACACGCTCATGTGTACCTGCATAAAAACCAAGAATCTAGGAGTACACTGTTGTGCCATCTTGAGGCCTTCATCTTTGAGCAGGAGCCACCTGGCTAAAATGTCTGCAGTACAGGCAGAAAAGAAGTGGAATCAAAGAAATCCAAGCATGCAGCAGTAAGCAGCGGGACAAATGTAAACTGCTAACATTACAATAGTCTGGCAGTAGATCTGAAGAGCATTGGACAGGCTTCAAGAAATCGCCTATCACACCAGTTCGCTGAGATGGATTCACTACCGACTCAAAGTGTCCAGCAGCGATTGAAAAGGTCACCCATGTCTGCGCAGCAGCCCTCAATGTCCCGCACACCTTAGCCTCTAATCTGAATAGTGTGTGTGCGCTGTGTGTAATCTGAATAGTAATAAGGCTGGCTGATAGATTGATGCATAACAGCAAAGAGCATGCAGAGCAGACAGGGTATTTTGGTGTCAACTCCCTTTATTTTCCTGTTGGCCCTGTTTCATTCAGCACCTTCAGGTGTCGTAGATCTGATACATGGCTTTGAGGCTGTGAAATGACTTTGATCAAAGTTGTATTCTGTGTTTCAAAAGGCCTGGCAAGGAGGTTTGACATTTTATTTTGTAGCTCTGCTTGTTTAAGGTAAAAGGTAACCTGTGTTTCCCTCTGAACTCTGCTGAGCAAGAATCAAAACCTCTCTGATCACAACACCAAAACTCAACAACATAAAGGAATTCATCATATTTACATAGGGAAACTTAAATCCTTGCATAACAGTTCATAAGTGAAGATTAATGTATTACTATTGTAATTATTTATCACTTTTTTCCTTATGCAGATTTTAACACTAACTCCGAATTTCCATCACATCTAGAACAGCTCTGATTTTTGCCCAATTCCTACCAGATCCATTGTGAGGCGAATTTCGTGGCGGATTACGGACAATGGTAATGGCGAGAACTCACAAGTACCTGCGGATTCACTTGCAATCACGTGAGACAAATTGTTTCTATAGCCACAAAACCATATAAGCAGTAGATTGTGTCCTTCCAGAGGAGGAAATCCACTTATAGACTTTTAGAATCAGCATCTCCTCATTCATGGTGTCATCGGGGTGAAATTAAGTCTAAAAAGCTTCCACTTGTTTGTCTCCGCCCGTTTGCATGGTGTGAAATACACTCCGCCTGAAACAAGAAGGGTTTTATTTTGAAAAGAAGCCAGATGT